CTGTGTGTATCAATCTTGTTGACAAATGTCATAAACTGACTATATATCGCTTTAATTTAACTACTAAATTTAAAGTATCATTTAAGTCAGTTTCAGGCCATTTGAAATTCTAATATGTAAAAAGGCCTAAAACAAGTAACAGCGTGTATAAACCTCTAAATAAACGTTAATGAAGAAATAAAAATAATTTGTTGTTGTTATGTGGATTAGACATTGAATTGTTTTTATAATATAATTTCAAATAACCTATCAGTGAAAGAACAACATTACAACAGTGGTGTCAGAAAAGGTATTATTTTGGTAAAAAATTGACTTTGATTAAATCTAAACTTTCATTAAAAAAGACCATGAGAACAAGGGCACACACTGAAAGTGGAAACTGTTAGACATGATAAAATCATGTAACGAACAAACATAAACAATGTCCAATTAGATAGAGGGACAGAAGCTATTTGGTCCAGGCCTCAAGCTCAAAAGGGACCAGAAATTTAAACACTTGTTACTTGTTGCATTTGTTAAATTTCGCGACTTGTTTTTACGCACTGAAAAAGGCTAGAAAAGCATTTATTTAATGTTAAATAATGTTAATAAGTATATGTTCAATATAAAATATTCAAATTATGTTTCACTTTTCGTTTAGGCTAATGATTGTCCTATTTTGTTTTCATGTGTCATCATTTAATTATTATACCCATGGGCTAGAACTTCTGAGATGGTCTGTAAAAGACCAAGAAGAACGTAACAAACAATTAAAAGAAGAACAAGAAGAAAGAAATAGACAATTAAGAGAGAGAGCCGTGAAGAATGACACCAAAAATTAGAAGAAATGAAGGAGAAAAACAGAAGAAGAAATTTTCAGAAAAATGAAAGATGATCAAGAGATAAAAAACAGGAATTAAAGAAGGAAGTTAAAAGAAAAAAACAAGTACTATTTAAGAAAGAACTAAAATCAAAAATGAATTTTATTGAAGGCAAGATCAATGAAACTATTGTAGATGTACAGATATGTTACAAAAACAAGTTTGAAGAGGTAAGAAATACGTCAACAAAACAAAGAAAGCCTATTACTATAAACTTGATAAAGTAAAAATGACATGAATAAGTAGAAAGGAACATAAGTGACAAAATATGGCATCTGGAATAGGAATTATTATGTGAAAAGATTAATTAAAGCAGCCACACCTTTTTGTGCATCAGCTTAGGAATTTTAGCCTGGACGACATAGGTGAAACAATTTGGTCTGCGTTTCTTATCACAACTGCTGTATCAGCTGTTACTGAAAGACCTTTCTGGGCTACACAAGTCATGACACTACACAATCAAATTCCAAATTTAGCTGATCGATTCAACATTGGCCAATAGAGCAACCAATAAACTATGATGAGAAGGTACTATAGGAGTTATATCAGGTCCAATTTGAAATAATTTCCAGAGTGAATGGTGGAAGAGTGAACAATAAGCCATCTATCTTGTTGTTCATTTCAAAGGACCAGGTTTGACAACATTAAGCAATCTTCCAGCTGAGAACCATACAACTACCAATCTTTGATAACCACCTTATTCAATACGTTTGGAGTGTCGCACCAGAAACAAATATCGAGAACAAAGTTCTGAAGCAGAGTATGGAAGAAAGAGGAGAACTTAGTTGAACTTGCAGAAGATTTGGATAGACTTGCCCATTTATCTTACCCCAGTGATCCCCATGCAATAATGGGTTCGTTGGTATGTGACCATTTTATAGACACCATAATAGACAAGGATATTTGAATTAGTAGGCGTCCAGCCTTAAAGGAAGTCTTGCAGTTGGGAATGGAACTAGAATGCAGACAAACAATTAAAAACGTTATTGGATCATCAGATTGTATAGTATTGAAAAATCAACTCCTACTGACAAGACTTTAGAATAATTAAAAGATGAATTAGATAATCGGTTAAACAGAATGAAGGAAATAAGCAACAAGACAATTTATTTTGTTTGTTTATAGTAAGCACAAAGCTACACAATAGGCTATCTGTGCTCTGCCCACCACGGGTATCGAAACCCGGTTTCTAGCGTTGTAAGTCCAC